AAAAATAGAGGCCAGTGTTTCTCTAACCACTTTTCTTATTCCTAAACGCGGAAACTTCACAGTCTTTGAAAAACTTTTTCCTAAAAAACCATCGAGTTTTCGATAAATTCGAATTTTAAAGCTAAATTTTGATAGAACCAACATTAAAATATTTGCGTTTGCTTTACTAGGCAGTTCCGAGGACTATAAAAATTCGCCCCCAGAATGCAACAAAAACATTTTTCGCGTGATCTCTAAAATCTGTTCTGGAAAACCTGCCGTAATCCTCACATCTTGCTACCGGATATTATTCCTCAAAGCTTTCTGCTTGCTTGACCAAAACGGAGCTTTAATTTATGCCTAAAAGTGCTTTCAGGTCTTTGCTTTTCCAACAATTTGTTGCTGCTGGCTACCCTCCAGCTCACTTGCGCTCCCGATTCCCCTAAGGAACAGTTACAATTCTTTCTTCCAGAAGATCCAAAATTCTAAAATTTTATCAATTCCCCAAAGAATCTACGCTAGTTTTCCCTCCAGCTCAAGAGGTATTCAAATTTTAAGAATTTCCGCAACGATCCCATGCTAAAGCTCGCCCTAAAATGTTTGAAACCCCTAAGACTGCCCTGTGGGGGCACAAAACCCGAAAACATATGTGAAAGTCGTAAAGAGGTTTGGAATGGAATGGAAAAAACATACGGTTGTTGACATGGGGACAGATTGAGACAAGAAAACAAGAAGAGAGAGAGAGAGAGAGAGGAAGAGAGAGAGAGAGAGAGAGAGAGAGAGAGAGAGATCAAGACATCCCAACGACCCCTAGTTAACCTAAAAAACTGCTGTCAGCCGGGGCGGATCCGATTTCGTCGCCTCCGGGACCCGCATTGTTCGCTTTCTAAAATCGCGATCTTCCACAGTGATTACTTCGATATTGCGATTCGATGGCCTCCCTCCCTACATTTGCTACAGTGCAACCAGGGGCCTACCACTAGGTGCGAGCAGACTCCGAGGAACCACCTACTGCAAAAATGCATCACTTTTGGAGCTTACTGCACCTGCTGTGTTGCCCGGCGGAACCAATGCGGTTCTAGTTCATTAACAGGGGGCGGGGAAGTTCATTCAGCCTGAGCTCCAGTCTACCAAATTACTAAATTTTTTTATTGTTTTTGTGCCAGTTTTCGATTTTTAAGAAATTTTTAGCTCAAAGAATTTTGAAATTTTCAGCTCTTTTTTCTTCTGTAAAATTTGTCCAAAAACTCACAAGAATCAGAGGAATTAAATATTTTGCAAACTTTTGGCGCTCAAAATAGTTTACGGGCGTAGCTGCTGACGTTAGTACCATATTTTTTCAGCCATGTCGTCGAGACCATCAGTTGCCGTATGTACACAGGCAGCGACCCATCATCGATCCGATGGGGATTCACCGTCCGATCACAAGGCCAAGATGTCGTCATCGCTACGGTAGGAGGGGCAACTTTTTAGTTTTTCTGATGATCCGGAAGTGTAGGTGGAAAGAGACTCCCTGGCAGACAAGGCTGGCCTGCCAGAATGGCGATATTGTCGATCAGGTGATTTTTCCAAGCGCCCTCGTAAACTGGTATTACGGAATTCTGTAGGTGGCCGGGAGGCGATGCTCGGGGTAGCTGGATGCTCAAAGGGAGATTGATGGTCGGGCCACGGAGTTGAACATGAATCTCAGAAGGTTCTTCATCCATTTTCCCTTACCTTACTTACCTACCAGCCTCTAATTTTTATTTAAATTTGTTTTTATCTATTGCTCAAAGTCGCTTCAAATTGAAGGGGCAGGCTAGCAGATTCTTTAGGAATGGACCAAAAAATGCTGCGCAAGACACGAAATTTACAAGTCAGGCCTAAGCCTACGCCAAGCAAGAGCCAAGCATAAGCGAAGCCTAAGAAGGTCCAAGCCAAAGGATAAGCCAAGACTAAGCCGAGACTAATTAAAGCCTAAACCAAGTCTAAGCCAAACCTAAGCCAAGACTAAGCGAAGACTAAGCCGAGTCTAAGTAAAGCCTAAACCAAGCATAAGCCAGGCCTAAGCCAGACCTAAGCAGATATAAGCCTAAGCCAAGCATAAGACAAGCTCACGAAGCCTAGCCTAAGCAGAATTAAAATCGTGCACTCATCGAAATTCCCCCAAGAATCCCTGGCATAGCCTGCCTTTTCCAGATTCATGTCCCATCCGCCAGCCATCCCATGGAGTCTCCACGAGGGTCCCGACAACAAACTACACGTCCAGGGGTTTGGAACGACATGGTGAGTTACTTGAAAAAATAGGTTCATTTGTACTATGGCTTTTCGGTTATATTTATGCTCAAAATTTGCTTAGAATGACGGGCGCTCGACTTCGGTGTCGGCCACGTCGAGGTCGGCTTGGGAGAATCCGGAGTCTCAAGGCTACCAGGTGAGAGAGAGCAGACAGAGAGAGAGAGAGAGAGAGAGAGAGAGAGAGAGAGAGAGCGCGAGCGAGCGAGCGAGCGACAAAGACAGAGTAGAGAAAGAGTGAGAGATCGAGAGACAGAATGCGAGAGAGAAATAGAGAGAGAGAGAGAGGAGTGAGGAGTGAGAGAGGGAGTGACAGAGAGAGCGAGAGAATTCAGGAGAGCGAGTGGAGAGTCAGAGAGAGATAGTGACAGAGGAGTAGAGAGAGAGAGAGATACATAGAAAAATCCATCAATTTCAGCCCTCCAGCTCAAAACTACTCTACAAAATACGAGACTACAAACTCCAGCTTCAGCAAGTCCGGAGTCAACTGGAGGGAACGCTATTTCAGTGGGTTAACATGTCACTAAAAATCCATAGCCATGCCTTGCCAGTCCCTTTGAACCACAAAAACGAAATTTTAGGCCACACCCATTGCCCTGCCCCCACCCCGGCGCCCCGGCGGCAACTACAACTACCAACACCACGAATCCTCCAAAACCGAAAGCAAATCGGCCACCGGGGTAGGCTAGCAAAGACAATTTGAGGAATTTGAGCCTTAAATTGCATCTTATTCATCCGTTTTATTTATTTAGAGCAAAAAAACCCAATTTCCTAGCCCGAGCGTCAACCCGGCCGACAACTACAACGTGTCCAGCCGCAGCGAGTGGAGGTAGATGATCGAAAATCCTAGATTGAAAAACTTTATTGGTTTCAGCAGCGGAAATCCTCCACCCGGATTCAACGGCCAGATGATGGTAAGGGATTAAAGGGGTCGGGAAGGCTAGGGCATTTTTATGGATTTTGCCGCGCCCGTGGCACCTAAAATTTCTTATATTGCGTACCCGGAGTATTTTCCACTTAACGTTCGGCAAGCGTTGCGGCGCGTTGCGTGTGCGCGGAACGTAAAATTTTAAGCGAAGGATATCGTTCTAGTAGTGTCCCGTTAAAAATGCCGACAAAGGAAAATAACGACAAAGCCAAATGCCGACGTTAAAAATGCCGACATCCAAAATACCGACACATCTTGGCAAAATGCCGACACCCAAACAAACGCTTGGACTCGAGATAACTCAAACAAAACTCAGAACACTCTTAGCTGTCGGCTTTTTTTCGCGGGCCCCTGGCTTTTCGATATTTTGGCTTGATGGCATTTTTTGTCGGCATTTTAGCTTGTCGGCATTTTTGGGAAACGGGTAATTTTAGCCGATGCTCCCGTTCCCGGCCTTCCCCACCGGGCCCAACACCCAACACTACCAACACTTTGAATCGTCGAAGAGCGAGAGCAAAACGGCCACCGGCGTGAGTTTTAAAGGGTTTTTGCTGGCTTGCCTGAATTTGGATTTTGCCGCAGCACGCGACGCACCCACCGTGCTCGCCGCGGCGGCGCGACGCGGGGGCGCGTTGCGGTGGGTTCAAATTCAGCTTATCCACTTTTTAGCCGGGCACCACCCCGGCCGACAACTACAATGTGAACAGCTCGACGTCGTGGTCCTCCGGCAATCCGCCGCCCAACTTCAACCCGAACGCCCCGTTCGGGGGTAGTGTTTTTGGGTGAGTCCGCCTGGTGGCGCCATGCCTTTAAAGGGAGGGGCAACGCATGGATATGGATTTTGAAGCTGTGGATTTACCCTGGAGTTGCGGTTTACCGCGAGACGCAACGCACACGCGCTCAAACCTTGCGCAAACGATTACGACACGATGAGGACTTGAATTTTTGAAAATTTCGGTGAATTTTCTCCGCTTGCCACACTTTCATTGCGTAATGTATTTCGAACGCGTCACAGCGTGAAATTGTGCGCGTTGCGTGTCGCAGCGCCGCGCCGCGGAATCCATAAAAATCGGGCACACGGTCAAAAATTTTGGATTGTATAGCCGCACACGCTGCCTAAAACCCAGCGTAATCGATTACGACACGATAAGGACTTGAATTTTTGAAAATTTTTGCGAATTTTCCCGGCTTTACACACTTGATTGCGTAATGAATTGCGACAGGTCACAGCGTAAAAGCGCTGTGCGCGTTGCGTGTCGCGGCGCGGCGGCGAAGTCGCTAGAAAATCCGATCTATACCCAAAACCTGTATTCCCATACCTTCGAGGTGCTTTTAATATCCAATGAGAGGCATCCGGAATAATCTAACGAATTTATTGAGTCACACATTAAATTAATCGGGGATAATGGTAGTGCATTAATGGTATTGTAATTTGGTGTATCACGGAATGGAGCTTCTCCTCATCAGCCCATCTTCTCGAGCCGCTGCTTGAACTTGTCGTACTGGGCTTGGTAACGGTCAGCGCCGAATTTTTCCTAAAAATTGGGTTCTGGTTCATTCGCGGGGGGGAGGACGGAGGTTATTATCCGTAGGTTCCCGAAAGCGCTATATCATGAAACGATTACTAAAAACACGGTAAAACTCGTTTTAAACGTGGCCACCCCCCCCCGTTAAGGTACCAGAACCAAAAAGTCGAAAAAGTCGAGGCCGTACCCTGAGATAGTCGAAAACGGTGACGTAGACCAAGAGGTATTGCTGGGATGTCTGGATGGCACTGGCCCGGCAGCCGCGCAACTCCTCGAACACGTCCAGCACCTAGGAGATGGGGTTGATTGTTGGGTAAAATATTCTAAAAACGCACCCATACGATGTCGCCGTTGAGGATGCGGGTGACGATCATATCAACGGCAATCAGAGTGCCAGTCCCATCGATTCCAGCCAAACACTGGATGACCGCCGTTTTCCCAGCCACGGAGTGGCGGAGTGGAACGGCCGTTTTGCGGCCACGCGCCGTTTTCCTGTCACGCCGCCACCTTATGTCTGTGTGTTGGTCTTGGATGTCCCCATCACACGCGCCCTAAACATCACTGCGTAACCGCAACCTCATCCAAATTTTAAGCCGAGTTTCAAATCAGCAGAAAACGGTGCTTTCGCAGGTTAGAGTGCAGCTTAGCCCCCCCCAGCCGCAACTTTTCAGTCATACGTCCTATTGATGCGCCGAGTATCTCAAAATGTTCGCCGTGGTCGAATTACTATAAAAAGTTGTTTTCTTGCGGCAAAAATTGCTAAAAAATTTTAACAAGATTTTGAAAGTTGAAAAGATTAAGCCGCTATGCTTCGATGTACTAGGAGTCTAAAACTCAAATATTTTTATTTTCCGCTATTTTTTTCGACTCAAACGTACTGTAGGCTTATTCTCCAGGGCAAGAGCTACATTTTGGTACTATTGACAGCTCTGTACGACAAAAGATAGCCGAGATACGAAAACTCACTTTGGAACAGCAAAAATTAACTAAAGAAAACCCAGACTTATATTTGTTATAAAAAAATTTCTAACCATTTTTGATGTAAGAAAACAACTTTTTTATCGTAATTCAACCACGGCGAACATTTTGAGATACTCGGCGCATTAATAGGACGTATGGCTGAAAAGTTAGGGCTGGGGGGGTAAACTGCACTTAAGCCCTTTCGCATTATCGGGGGGATATTTTCATAACGCCGGATTAGAGCGAGCAGCAGCGAGCGAGCGATAGAGCCAGCCAGCAAGAACTTCAGATCTTTCGCTAACCACCAGCCCCGGCCCCCCCCCCGCTAACGCACAAGAATTGAAAAATGGTGTTACCTTCAACCGCTCCAAGGTTTTCATCACACATCGATCGGATGATGCGGTCCTTCTATCAGGCCATTTCGGGCAGTGGACCAGCTCAAAGGACCTCGCGATTCCGGCGCTTCCCAGCGACACCTTGATCCTGTAGACACGCAGGCCGTCCTTCGGATAACTTGTCACCTCAAAAGCGGATGTTCCACTGCAGCAATGCCATCACCCACACCCTCAATCACGACGACCACTTTTCCATATCTCATCTGTCCGCGGCCGTCCATCCCCCAAAACAACGACAATCCGAAATCATTTTTCGCGCCCGATTCGCCCAGGCAGATGATAATCCTTGCCTCGACCTAAACGTCATTTCATTTATACATGGGTCGACGCTTGCATGCGCCGCATAAGCGTGACTGGCCACGCTCTTCCGGAGCGTGGAGAACCACGCTTATGCGGCGCTTTATGCGTGATTTTTCACGCTCGCACTTTAACTCCAGATGCAAATCAAACATTGAAAGGCCATATAACTATGATTTCGATTTGCTAAAATGGATTACCGATACATAACAATCAAGTGCCTGTTTAATTTTTCATAAATAAACATTTAGGTAGTGGTTTAACTTTTTGATACTTAACTTCTTGAAAACTTATCGATTTTTACGTATCCATGCCCTTGGAAAATGTTAATTTTGCATCTTTTGAAACTTTGCATAAGTGTTTCCGGAGCGTGGCTAGCCACGCTCATTTTGGCGTGGTTTATTAAGAGCCACGCGCGCCAGCGTGGCTCTCCACGCTCCGGAAGAGCGTGGCCAGCCACGCTAATGCGGCGCATGCAAGCGTCGACCCATGTATAATTTCATTAGCGGGGTCGACTTTTGAGGTACTGGACTGTTAGCGGTGGGGCGGGGGGGTTTGGTCATTTTTATCTCTCTCTCTCTCTCTCTCTCTCTCTCTCTCTCACTCTCTCTCTCTCTCACTGCGTCCCTTTCTGTCGCTCGTTCCGTCTTAATCTCTCGTTCTCTCTCATTTGAGGGGTCTTGATTTTTCACTAGTCGGGGTTAGCCACAGACCTGTAACACCATGCGCCAAAAGTCTTCGACGGTGTGGGGAAGTGGGGCTTGAGTGGCGATGTACTTCCGTTCGAGACCGTCGCCGCGGACCCAGTTTGCATGGATGTAGTCACCGTCGTCGGCGGTGTACGGGCCAAACTTGGGTTTCAGGACGACTCGGGTCGTGTCCAGGCACATCACATCCTCAAAAGGATTGTCGTTCTTTTGCATTATCGGGGGGTGCAGCTTTTTTCTGTCAGTCCAGAAAAACGTAGTAAGTGTTTTAATAGTGTTTTTGGTCAAATCTTGCTTTCTTGAAGTGGCAAAACAATCAAAAAAGCTTTAAAAACCTTTTTAGATGACAGTTTGGTCGAAAAAGGGCAGTTTTTAGTAAAAATCGACATTTTTGTATCAACGTTTCGCAAAAATTTGAAATTTTGTATTTTTCTAAAAAACCGTTTCGTCACTAAATTAAATTTCATGCCCTAGATTTGAACAAAGAAAATCTACTATCCAAATACATTCAAAACCCCAACTAAAAACTACTGAAAACGCTATAAAAATAGGCTAGAAAATAGAAATTTCACAAATTTAATCAACTTTACAATTTTTTTGCATTCAGAAATACCCTGTATCGATTCTTGTCGGCATTTCGGCGGCCCGTCTCGCATTTGACGTTGGGCGGTAGATAGGCCTTGTTCGACTCGTATTCTTTCAAAATACCGACAGGCCCTATCTAAAAGCCACGCCCACTGCAACATTATGCCTCGACTATACCCGATCGAGATATGCCACAAATCTGTCGGCGGCGGTCTCCGCATGGGCCCGTGTCTCCTTGGTCGACTCAGTCACTTTTTGGTTATACCGTCTTTTCCCATTACATTTCATCGAATCGCGCGGTTCGAACCGACCGTCGAACGTCGAAAATCCAAGGACCCAGTGGATGACTAAAACAAGAAGTGGTTCTTTTAACGGGGGTGGGGGTGCTGAATTATACTATGAGTCCCGAAATTCATAATAAATTTATGGTATCTATTTTACACCATTTAACTTTTTTATCAAAT